CTTAATTCTTCTATGTGGCCTGAACTATCTTTGGCAGATTTCCTTGCCCTTTTTTTAAATAGACTTCAGGAATAGTTCTTCAGGCTTCTTGATGGGCATTTAAAGGTCTTCTTTGGATTTTGGCTGGGGTCTGGGTTCTGGGGAGGCCAATCCATGACTGATTGTGTTTCGCTTTGTCTTTTTCTGTTCAGGTGTGCTTTTACTGCATTGGCATCATTGTCACACTGAAAAATGAAGTTGTTGGCAATCAGACTCTTTCCACGTGGTACTGCGTGTTTAATCAAAATCCAGTGATGCTTTTGTGTGTTCATAATTTTATCAGTTTTGACAAGATCTCGAAAATCACTGGCTGAAATGCAGCTCTAAACCACAACAGAGCCTCCACCGTGTTGCACTCATGGCTGGAGACCAGAAAGCCTATAGAACTATTGCTCAAGACCACTTTAAAAAATTGTAAGAAAGTCTGAGTCACTCAAGACGTTTTGGATATTACTGTGAGCAACACTCATTAGCATTCAAACAGACAAAATCTCACTCGTGTTTTTAAACAACTAGAGGAGGCCACACACATACACGCTCACATTGGGTAAAAAAAATGACTGAACAAAGACAAACAAGACTGTTTTTTATCTTCTCTGTGGAGTGAAGAAGAAGAAAACAGTGGTACCAAGCGCTGCTTTGCTGGCGCCAGGCCAGTGTTAAATATCAGGACTCAGTTTACAGTTTGACTTCACAGCAGCACCTCCCTTCTCTGCAGTCCATCTGCGAGCGAGTTACATTTCTCCAGAATGTGCAGGGATGAGGTGCTCGCTGAGCAGCCTCTCCAAAACACGTAGAGTGGCCATCTGTGAATGACAAAGTCTTTAGCACACTTGCTTGAATTTCACTTTCAGTACTGGTAATACTTTCATCTCCCAAGTTTCAAGATTCCTCAAGGTCTTTTTGTTGCCATTGTTTTGATATCCCTGTTGTCAGCTAGACCTTCTTGTGTTTTAGTGGCCTGTCTCTGTTTTTCTCATTTCTCTTTTTCTGACTTTTGTCTATCCTTCTTTGTTCCACCCGTGTGTCAGCGCTCGGCTCCACACCACTCCCTCTTTACTACTGTGTGTCAAATGTGGCCAGCAACATCAATCTCCGCTGCTGTTTGAAAAGGTAAGACAAATAGGAGGCACTGTGTCATGCCGTGATCGCCGCGGCCTCCTCTCTCCACATCTCTCTGTCCGATCCATGCTTTGTGAGTCTGATGGTTATCTGCACTCTTACGCTAACCGGCCGTGTTACTGGCAAACTGATGGCTTATTTCAAGTTTCTAACCGGCTGTGATCAGGCCTACAATCTAGTCCCTAAACCTCATTTGAAATAAACAACTGCTTACAGAATGCTTGCCTCCTGCTACCTCTCCTGCACAAGCTAAATATAGTGTAGAATTTAAACTGTGTATTTTTGGTTTTGTGGGTGCAGGATGGATCATGGTGTGGATAGCTGATAATATCTGTGAGCTAGCACTCTCGGGGTAATGACGCACTTTACCATCATGCACTGCAAAACAAATCATCTTGCCACAGAGTGAGGTACACCATCACCCATCCTGTGGTAATGCTGGTAATACTGGCAGTTTTGTAGTTCCACAAGGCCATACTTCAGCATGTCTAGGAGCGGGCCATATGACGTTATGCACCATGAGGTGTGTTACAACAACGGCTCAAGGGGGGAAAAACAGGAAGGTGCCATTTATCTTGAGTTGGCTCTGTTTTAAATGAGTATTGCTGTTGGATGATATGATTTACTTCCTTGTTGAGACTTTGATAGCATGATCTAGCACTCGTGTGTGAGGCCAGCACTAACCTGGCCCATGCTCTGTGTGTGTGTGTGTGTTTATGTGTGTGTGTGTTTTAAGTATAGGCCTAGCTAAAGCGGTAAGCTTAGTTTAGCATGAGTTCTATTGAAAAGAGAAATGCCTGCTGGCATCTCTAAAAGCTATAAGATTACAAGATATCTGTTGTTAGAAAAAAAGGAATGTCGACTGTGATTGTGACTTCTAAATTTGGTCGCTCGTTGCCATGGTTGCCCCACGGCAAAGAAGGTCTTTGGGTTTGAAGCCAATGGCTGGCTGGGTCCTTTCTGTATGGAGTTATTGCAAATTCTCCGTATGCCTGCGTGGGTTCTCTCCGAGTACTTTGGCATCCCCTCACAGGCATGTTTAGTTAATGTTTGATTCTAAATTGGCCATGAGTTTGAACGGTTGTCTTTCTCTCTGTGCCCTTTCATAGATGGTGACCTGTCCAAGGTGCACCCTGTTCAGACCTTGTGACAGCTGGAATAGGCTCCAGCACTCTAGCCTCCAGTGGTCCTGAACTGGATAAGAGGCTGGATGGGTGCTGCACAAAAGTGTTGGTCTGCTGGGTTGTTCTGAGCAATTTCCTACATTCTCATTCATCCAGGTCAAGGTATCTGAGACTCTCCACCGTTTGTTTTTAGAATTGAAATAGCCTCATGGATGAGAGGTGAAATGTCTTTACAAACTTAAAAAAGTCCAGTTGGCTTCTTTTTTCAGGCTTATTTTTAAATAACATTTAGAGAGATCCAGGAGAGCATTTACCACTATGCAATATACTGTTGTATAACAAAAATGCATTTACGCAAATACATATAAACTGCATCTACACTGCTTGGTAGATGGGTGCCAATGGTGATCAGGGTGGTTTTAATCTCCCACTACAGACTCTTCAGATATTTGTCTGTTGCACCTATTTACCAGTCAGAAAGGCCTGGAAATTCAGCCTTGTATAGATTCTTTCAGAAGTTTTCTGTGCCAGAGTGGAGATGTCTAACAACCGTCTCTATGATACTGAGCCCCAGGAACCTAAAAAATGTTCACCTGGTTTATTTCAGCTCCGCAATGTCACACCTGTTATTTATAACCCAGTATAAAATTACATATCTTAGCTAACCCAATACAGTGTTGCGGTTTTCCAACTGTGACAGGCCCTGTTTTATGAACTGGTAAGAAGAAAAAATGTTTCTACCTCCATGCAACTTCAATCCACTGAGACACACACTTGTTGGTATTTAGAGGAGAAAACTAAAGCAACTAAAGAAGTGACAAAAGACAAGCAGAAGCACTCGGTAAGAAACAAGTGACCCAACCTTCCTCCTGCATGTACAGTAAGTTCTTCCAAGCAGCTCTGAAATGTCATACTGGTACAAGGGGCCTTATTCAAACATCCATTTCTACACGTGGGTGGGCAGGAGTTTCCCTAGTGAGACAGAGGTCACACCCTGCCTGTCCTCATGCTTTTGTGACCTTTCTGCATGCGGTTCATGTATTCCACATTAATAAAACTCCTAGTTGTGTGTCTACTGTGTGGTACATGGCAAAAATATGAGCCCCAGAAATTCTCTCTACAGCTTCTCTTCTTGACAAATTTGATAAAATCTTAAAAGCAGCCTTGCTGGGGAGTGAGTGACAGCAGAACTGATATACTACTGCTCAGTAGTATTTCCACATATTTATAAGCTGATGAACCTGTAGCACCATGAAAAACCCATGACTCAAAATCTAGAAACATGTCTGTGCCAAAGGATCAGTCACAGGCTAACTAGAGAACAATGAGATCATCCAAGAACGGCTCTCTCAGTACTGGCCTTAAGTCAGGATGATCTCATAACAAAACTGCTCAGAGGCCAGTTATCTCTTCATGCCAATGAGAAGTTCACCATTGTCATCTTGCTTTATGCATAAGATAAATATTGTCAGGTTAATCTGCACCAGACACTTTTAAAGTTAATTACATTGCAATCAGTAAGCCCCCAAAATGTAAATGAATTCTCTTTTTGCTCCCCCCCCTGTGCCTGTCTTTATGTAACACTGCTACCACCGTGTGGTCGAATGAGGTACACAAAGCCTTGCATGTATATTTGTAAAGTGGAATTTGGATGAACAATGGTAATCTGTGATCCAGTTGAATCCTATATTCATCAGAGCAAACAGATGGGTATGATGTGCTTCCCTGTTTCACTGAAGGACAGAAAAACATCATGCTTTTGCATTTGGAATTTAAATGCAAAAGGAATTTAAATCTGGGACTCTCCACCATTTGACCTTAGAACTGAAGAAGCTTCTCGGATGAGAGGTGAAACGTCTTCAAGTAACTTAAAGAAGTCCAGACGTTTTTCTTTGCAAGCTCCTTTGACTACGATGACCTGGATGACTGAGAACCTTCACAGACATTTTGCATTTGGAATCATTTGTACCTGCCACCTTTTATCATAGCAGCCTTTTACGTTTGAATTGCAATTTTCAAACAGTGTCTCGGTTTAGATCAGACCAGGAAGAATGCTGGGCTCTGCCATGTGCTGTTTGATTTATCCAAGATAAGTTAAAACCCACATATGACTTCATCTTCTCGTCAGCAACTTAGACTATAGTTCCTGGGGAACCATAGTCCCAGCGTGTGCGTGTAGATTTGTGTACTGTAAGACAGTAATGTGTTTATCTTTAAACACAACTCAGTACCGTGTTATCAGTTCACAGGATCCAGATAACAGAATGACACATTTCAATAGCAGATTCATTACTATCAGTTTTTACGTGGCAGTTAGTTTCACATGAATGGCACCAGCTCCTCTATCAACTTAGGCTATCTCCGTGTCTTATTCCCGTTATTGTAATGCCAGACTGATGTCACAATGTGGAGATAAAGGCTACGACAAAAAGTCTTCTTGGGTCATTCTTGTCATTTAGACGAGTACTTTACTTCTGGCTCCTGCTGTATTTTGATGAGAACTTTGTGAAACTGCAGAACGAATTTGGGTCTAGTCAGATGCCTCCATTTAAAAATGATTTAAACACTAAAACTGTGTAACAGTAACAATACTGCATGTCTCTACTCTCAGGCCTGTGATGGGTGTGGTGCATTTGTGTTTGAGTTATGCTGTAACGGTGAGCACACTGTGTTTCTGCATGCAACAAGCATGAGGAAAAAACAAATGAATCAAAATGTTTATGCAATGCTTTTATTTCATGTTAAAGTAAAACAAGATTGTTACAAAAATACTACACAACCTTAATTCATCATATTTTTCCTGTTCTTCCCTCACAGTAGAAGCTATGGATTAGAGAACCTTTCTAAATCTTTCCCTGAATTCTAAATAAATAGTTCCCTAATTTCATAAAAAAAAATCTCTCCCTAAAATTTCTAGAAATCCTACACTGTATTTACATATTGCATACAGTGAAAAAAAGATTTTTCATCGTATACATAATCAGTAGTGCACTATACCAATAAAACTGTTGATGCACAAAAGTTTCTCAGATTTGTCTCGCAGATTCATTCATAACATTTATATTTAAATATTACAAAAATATTTCTGATTAGTGACATTATTTTCATTCATGTAATTATACAGATCAAAGAGCTTTTTTTAGCCATCAAGTTGATCTAAAGGCTTCCTTTGCACTATAACAGGGATGAGATCACGGTCATTTTTGAGGCTTGTTAGTGTGTTTGTGTCTAAAGCTTGGCTTCGATGATAACAGAAGATGCACTCAGGCTTCCATTGTGCCACTCGGAAGAATCCTGGAAATCAAAAGAGATGGGTCAGATCAGTAGTTTTTTTTTTAATGCCTTCAACACAAAAAACACAGTTTGTCTCTGTAGACTTTAGTCTGTTTGGGCTAGCTTCCACCAAAAGAGTCTCTGGAGTCATGACAAACTTTAGCCTGACACATCTGTGTACATTCTCAGTCATCCAGGTCACGGTAGTGTCTTGAAGCTCAGCTAAATGTAATGATAGCTTATGCGCATATTCATACACACTATGTAAAGAAACACCCTAAGCCAGATAAATTAGCCTATATATAGCTGGATTTGTTAAATGTGAAAGAAAAGAGTTGTGCTATGTGTTAGAGCATATCTAAGCACTGCAAAAATGTCAGTGAATATAAATAAATATAAATGTTTCACCTTTCTGTCCTTTGTTGTGTATTAACACAACAAAGGACAGAAAGGCAAAAGATGAGACGCTTCAAGTGTTAATTTTCTTTTTTGTTTACCCTTATATGTACTGTAGAAAACAATCTATGATTGGGCCACGTGCAAAGGTTTTATCACATTCCTTACTTGTAAAATGAACCTTAATTAACAGATAAGATAGGTTCAAGAGCCGTAAACCATCTGACTCTTCAAAACCTTTGTGACACTCGAGTCAAAGATGAAGCTGACTGAACACTATTATCATAAATGAGAGCAAATTTCACCGGAAACCAACAGTAAAAAACCAGCTGTGGAAATCAAGAAATACTCTCAAAGATCAAGAAAACTTAAAGATAAAATTATATGTCTGCAGGGCAAAAAAGGGAAAGAAAATCCTCATGGCACTGCACAAACAGCAGCAGAAAGTGCGCCTCAATCCAGTGTACACTTTACATGCAACTGCAAAAATCAATGTCTGAAAGTTTTTCGCCACAATCACAACGTACTGGGAGGCAAAAACGATGCAACTGTTAAATCAGTAGAAAAGATTTCATACAAAAAAAAAAAACCTTCACAGGTTTGATTTTCTCTTAAAGAAAGGCAGAAGATCAGTTATGAAGATGGAAGATACAGGGAGTGCAGAATTATTAGGCAAATGAGTATTTTGTCCACATCATCCTCTTCATGCATGTTGTCTTACTCCAAGCTGTATAGGCTCGAAAGCCTACTACCAATTAAGCATATTAGGTGATGTGCAACTCTGTAATGAGAAGGGGTGTGGTCTAATGACATCAACACCCTATATCAGGTGTGCATAATTATTAGGCCACGTCCTTTCCTTTGACAAAATGAGTCAAAAGAAGGACTTGACAGGCTCAGAAAAGTCAAAAATAGTGAGATATCTTGCAGAGGGATGCAGCAGTCTCAAAATTGCAAAGCTTCTGAAGCGTGATCATCGAACAATCAAGCGTTTCATTCAAAATAGTCAACAAGGTCGCCAGAAGCGTGTGGAAAAACCAAGGCGCCAAATAACTGCCCATGAACTGAGAAAAGTCAAGCGTGCAGCTGCCAAGATGCCACTTGCCACCAGTTTGGCCATATTTCAGAGCTGCAACATCACTGGAGTGCCCAAAAGCACAAGGTGTGCAATACTCAGAGACATGGCCAAGGTAAGAAAGGCTGAAAGACGACCACCACTGAACAAGACACACAAGCTGAAACGTCAAGACTGGGCCAAGAAATATCTCAAGACTGGTTTTTCTAAGGTTTTATGGACTGATGAAATGAGAGTGAGTCTTGATGGGCCAGATGGATGGGCCCGTGGCTGGATTGGTAAAGGTCAGAGAGCTCCAGTCCGACTCAGACGCCAGCAAGGTGGAGGTGGAGTACTGGTTTGGGCTGGTATCATCAAAGATGAGCTTGTGGGGCCTTTTCGGGTTGAGGATGGAGTCAAGCTCAACTCCCAGTCCTACTGCCAGTTTCTGGAAGACACCTTCTTCAAGCAGTGGTACAGGAAGAAGTCTGCATCCTTCAAGAAAAACATGATTTTCATGCAGGACAATGCTCCATCACACGCGTCCAAGTACTCCACAGCGTGGCTGGCAAGAAAGGGTATAAAAGAAGAAAAACTAATGACATGGCCACCTTGTTCACCTGATCTGAACCCCATTGAGAACCTGTGGTCCATCATCAAATGTGAGATTTACAAGGAGGGGAAACAGTACACCTTCTGAACAGTGTCTGGGAGGCTGTGGTTGCTGCTGCACGCAATGTTGATGGTGAACAGATCAAAACACTGACAGAATCCATGGATGGCAGGCTTTTGAGTGTCCTTGCAAAGAAAGGTGGCTATATTGGTCGCTGATTTGTTTTTGTTTTGTTTTTGAATGTCAGAAATGTATATTTGTGAATGTGGAGATGTTATATTGGTTTCACTGGTAAAAATAAATAATTGAAATGGGTATATATTTGTTTTTTGTTACGTTGCCTAATAATTATGCACAGTAATAGTCACCTGCACACACAGATATCCCCCTAAAATAGCTAAAACTAAAAACAAACTAAAAACTACTTCCAAAAACATTCAGCTTTGATATTAATGAGTTTTTTGGGTTCATTGAGAACATGGTTGTTGTTCAATAATAAAATTATTCCTCAAAAATACAACTTGCCTAATAATTCTGCACTCCCTGTAGTAGTTAACAACATTTTCTTATTGTTAAAGACTGTAATCAGCTTAATGTTGGTTATTGCTATAATGTCATTTTTAATTTCTTTTCACATACATTACATGTTCATCATTTTAAATAACTAAAGCAAAGATGGAGTGAAAAAAAGGATTAAGTAAAGATCCAACTAGCAAGGACTTTATTCCATTCATGTTGAGCGTCCATACTTTTAACTAGATGAAATCTCTGGTGGTATTAGTAGGATATAGGACAGCGCTGTAAGCAAGCAAAGGCAACAACAGGCAAGAACAGGAAAATTAGCAGTACCGCGCTGACTTCATCTGAAAAATCACAAACACTACGCTGTGATTCAAATCCAATCAAAGCCATGCCGCGGGCAGCAACTTCACACACTGGCCTCCTAAAACACAAGAACACTAAAGTGAATCACACAGCATAATGAGCTGTATGATCTCGTTCTTGATTTCCTACTGTGATAAGCCGCGCTGTTTTATTTCTATATGGAAGTGCCATTCGCATTTATGAGGAAAGTTTAAGCCAGTCAGCTGTTCAAAAATAGGATAGTTAGAAGTAGCTGTAATCCAATGTGAGGAAGTGTTTTGGAATCAACAGGTTCATGCAGGGGTTAATGATTACCCCCAGCTGACTTAATTGTCCTTAAGTGACTTTAGCTGATTTTAGTAGAACTGCTACTGAGAAAATCAGTAGCAGGGCTTCATGGGGAAGAATCAAAAATCACATGATTTTCATGATTGTGTAATTATGATTTCTTTTGCACGATCCTCAGAAACACATAGAGACAGTAAAACAGGTGTAACAGTGAAAAGGGTGTACAGCAGGTGCTCTTGATCAGTGGCAGTGTGTGGTGATTGCTTTGTGATCCTACCTTTGTGCACCTTTATGATGAGCTAAGATTTGAGATTTTTTTTCATTTTTTATTTTTTTTGTGGAAGCAGAAAAGTTTTATTGATCAGGCTTGAGAAGAAGTCTGCTGCTCGGAGATTAGCGATGTGGCTCCGTAGTCTTGTCCTGACTTGTGCCTCTCCGCCTAAAACAAATGCTTTTGATCACTTCTCATTCAGTGTTTATAGAGGAGTGGGGCTCCAGTCTGGAGTGAAGTTCACCAGAATCTGATCACACATATATGTTTAGTGGTTGCTCGTGCTAATCAGCTTCAAATAGTGAGGCCGGAGTATGTACACAAAAAGCTCAGGCTTCACTGTGTTCTAAGTGCTCAGTTTTCACAAAGCTTGGCTCTGTGTTCATATTAATAATAACATAGTCATCTTAAACAGACACCTGCTATTTAAATGCTCCATTTGTGAGGGGCAGCCAATCAGAAGAAGTCTTAGTAGAGTCCAAGTATAAAAATCTTGAGCTAAAAATTTGTTTAATTTGACTCCTTTTAAGATGGCTTGAGAGACTGAAACACATTTATATATATGTGAGGAATTAAACTTTAAGCACTTATCAGCAACTTCACCACAGATCTTGGAGACCCACCCAGAAAGAGAAAGAAATGTATGGTGACAGAATGACTTAAGAACAGAAGAAAATCGCAACCATAAAGTCATAACGGCTGACAAGTTCCATAAAAGTTTACATAAGAATATTTAAATGTGCAGAGTGCCAACAGAGTCAGTGAATATTCAACAGCGTCTTTTAGCTAAACTGATGCAGACATGCAGGATCACAGAAGACAAAGGCAAAAAACAGTCCTCCTCTGTGGAGCCCGGGATGCACAGGTGACTTATCGCTCACGACAGACAAACACTTAACACATGGATCATTTTCACAGTAGACATTTTGACACACTATTAAAATATTTTATTTATGGCATCTGTTGCAGTACATGGTACTAGCCAAAGGATGAAGAATAAAATGCTTTTCCTACACTGACATGTCAAAATGTCTTCCGTGAAAAGGCCTATTTGACTTCATAGTACCACCGCTTTTGTTTCATATCCCCAACAAACAAACAAAGCGCTACACCCTTGGCTTGCTTCAAAACTTACGGCTGCTTTGGCCTGCAGGTTAGCATTTTGCCTCCTGAGATCAGACTTGATTAAAGCTGTAAAAAAAGAAAGACAGAGAGAGGGTAAGTCTGCATTAGCTGATGGATCCTCCACTGCAAACACAGAGACGAACACAAGCAAAACAGGATCGTATTACTTCACACAAGTTAAACAGTTTATTGAAACAAAGTAATAACAGTGACTATCCAGTAGGTGGCTCCTATGCACAGACACGTTCAAGTCTTAATAGTGGCATTCAAGTTAAGACACCTTGTTAACTATTTTCAAAGAGTGTGTGGCTACCAATGCAAATCTAAAAACAACTAAGCCTGCTGAGAAACTCCGGTCAAAAGCAATTATTAAAAAAAACAGCGTGATTGTAATTTAGTAATTAACTTCAATTTTCATGGAAGGAGGAGACTATTTCACAAAAACAATCACAGCCTTGCCTTCTAATGGCCATACAAAGGTTTATCACCAATCGGAGAGCAGGGCGGATTTTTTTTGTTTGTTTGTTTTTTTACAAACATTTTGTTTTTCTTTTAAAACTTCATGACCACAACAAGAAGTTTACTCATATGAACAAAAAGCAGTTAGTGAGTCAGTCTGTTGACCTTTAAGAAGTGTCATTAAAGGTTAAGGCATTTTTAAAAAGTTAAACATTGCTGCTAAACCCATCGATGGGTCATGAAAAATCTCCTAAGTGGTTTTGAAATCACCTTTATTACCTGAAAACACACCCCTGCCGAGTGCGTGTCTGTAGAGCTATGCACTGTCTTTACTAAATGGTTCCAGGGCTTAAGAAAATGTTCACCACTCCTCCCTCTGAACAGTTTAGTTGTATACAGCTTTGTTGTTCTCTAATTTCAAAGAAAATCTCTTCCTAGCGATGATGAAGAATGACGCAGAATGCCACCTCAAGCCGCAGACTCTGTTTTATCTGAGCTGCAGACAGCCTTCTTGTAAAGAGGTGACAAATTTGTCTGTTATGTGTAAAGTGCAATAAAAAATAGCATTATGTTCTCAAGTATTCCTCCAAATTACACCATAACTAAGTCCTGCTTTCTAGGAACGTGACATTCTTACATAGGAGTATTAGTAAACTCGTAACAGGATAAAGTGACAGCAAAGACAATTCTTGTGCATTTCTGTATGTGTGACATTAAATCAGTACTCTATTATGACTCAAAACTGTGTATTTTTCACAGTCACAGAGGTCTTACCTGTCATTATTGTGCCTATCAGAAGAAAGACACACAAGAAGATGTTTCCTGCCAGCGTGCCGTAATTGTCAATGATCTTGCCTTGGCAAATGGTGAATATAATTCCGAACACCTGTGTGTGGGTGCAGAACATGGGGTAGTTAGGATTAAAGCTAGCACGCACCCGGGAAGGATAAAGAGCAAACCCCGTCCTTGAACTCGGTTTTTATTTTCATGCATCTTGGATCTTCTGCAGCTGGCGAATATGTTTATGCACCAGATGAAGGAAGCTCAACTACACACTGAGTTTTTGCAAATATATCACGCACAGTTGCCGTGATGTTGAGAGAATCTGTCTTGCCTGCTTATGAACAGGCATTACAAATGCATAAACAAAACTATGAAATAAATATATAAACAAGGAAGTCAAAATTGCCTCATAATGCCAAACCCCCCCACAAAAGCACGTTATTCCAAAGCAACGCCAGCCGTCAACAAAATCCCATTTTATTGTTTATATCCAAAATTCCCGTGAAAACCTGCATTTACAGTATAGTGAGTCAATTCCTCCAGAGCAACAGGCTGAATGACTCACTTTTTCCATGGAGGGAACACAGCTTACATCCATCATTTCATTGGTTCTTTTCTTCTTTTTTGCTATCACACTGAAAACATTGATCTGTACCTGTGCTGAGCAGTTGAGGAGGCCAGAAGACGTTCCCTCTGACTCTGGGTATGTCAGTTCGACTGCAAATTCAAAGCCCAGTGGCAGGTAGCCCGTCATGAAGAACCTGGACACAAGGATCCACAAAAGGGATAAAAAAGAATTTGTGAGTTTATTTAATTGCTGCTCGCTTTTTTGCTACAGTTTTATACGTGTAAATGCGTAAACAGGACACCTGCTCCGTTCAATAAAATGCCCCTTATCATGTTAGCTGACAAGTGCATGGACACTTTGTACCTACAACATTTGATTGTTCTTCCAGGAAATCAACACTCATGTTGCCTCAAGTTAATAACACTGGAGAATTTATACAGGAACAGCAGGTTTTTCAAAGCAGTCCAGTCACATCAGATTCTTTTTCTCATTCAACAGCAGGGTGTTGTTCTTCCACTAAAGTGACAGCAAGTGAAACTCAAATCAAAAGCCTCTGACATGGCTGCAATAGCAAAACACATCAGTCTGAGTCAGTAGACAGACACATTTCTTCTCTTCTGTCAATATGATACGGAGACTACAAAGCAGCAGACGCGCTGACCTTTAATGTCAAACACATTTCTTTAAAAAAATCCTGTTTAAAAAAAACAAGGCTAAAGTTATGTCTGCCATAGATCATGCAGATGCACTTCCAGAGGAAAGGAATTCCAATTTGGAAGATCACTGTGTGCTGCTGAGGGTGTAATCATTTCACAGCCACATAAAGGTTAAACTGGATGAACAAGATTGTTTTTTAATTCCAAGAAGAGAGAGGCAACCCAGAGGAAACCTAGTAGATGATTTCCCCCATAAACATTTAAATGGTTTGGTTTTCCCAGTTCATAGAGGTTATGTATTTTTATTTTTGTGATCTGAAATAATCCTGCACCATTATTACTATATGACATACTCTCGCTGTCTCTATTTTTTTGTTTTGCTTTGTTTTGCTCTGCAGCATGGGCTTCCAGGAAAACATCACTGCGAGGGGGTTTTCTTGATAAAACACATTTCAGTTAAGTTAAACTAATGCACATATATGCACATATTTATGTATTTACATAAGGACATTTTTCCTTTTCTCATGAGTTTAGGTGCAAATGCAGGCCTTTGTCTAAACTTTGTAGGGTCTACATGTTTGTAGAAGCTGAAACAACCAGGGCTGTAAATTATTATTGCAAATGTCAACAGAGGTACCGGGCCAAGGGAAATGACCAGAAGCAGAATTTAGGACATGACGGAAGATTTCTGCATGGTTTAACGGCTGAATCGAAAGTGTGCACACATACTTTTATACATACTTTTAAAATGTACAAATACAATAGCCCACTCACTTGCCTACTACGGATACATTCCATATTTTGTTATTTTTGGGTTTTTTGTTTTTTTTACAGATCCACAGTATCTATCAAAATTTTTATATTCATGAGGGGCGTTTGTTCTCTCTCGATTCACAGAAATAAAGGTGTTCTGAAGTAGAATCAAAGTAGTAAATGAGTAGAAATAAAGTCCTTTAATGACATTACTTGTGTAAAAAAACAACAACAAAAAACCAAAATGTTAGAAGAAACAATAAAAGAATACCCAAGTACTCCAGCAGTGATGAAAACCACCCAGAGGTGTCCCAGGCTGAGTGTAGCAGCATAAACGATCATCCCCACCAGAGACAAGAGGTAGACTGCAAGGGTTGTCTGCCTGGGGAAAAGAAGAGCATGAGTAATACATGTCACTGTGAGCACAGCAGTGATCATTATGACTGCACACACATATGTAACAGTACGTAGTGCGGCAGTTTTGCAAGTAAAAGAAACAAAACGTAAAGCTGCAGCAAGTATTTGCCAGAAATTTAGAGAATTTCGGGTCTCTGGGGGTGGGGGGGATGGGGGCTAGAGTGTATCCCAGGTGTCATCTGGCGAGAGGCACCAGCCTATTACATAAGAGACAGGCAACCAGTGTACAGTCACCAATTAACAAACATGCATGTCTTTGGACTGTGGAAGGAAACCTTTGCACGCAGAACATGCAAAGAAAAAAAGACACCACACAGAGAGGCCCCAGTCAGCTGGAGGGTTCGAAACCAGCTCTCTCTCCTTCACTTTTTCCTCTGTGCTCCACCCACCAGACAAAACGAATGCTCCTACCTACCCTACACAGCTAACCACAAGTCATTTTTGGCTTTTAGCGTCATGTGGGCTGGCTAACTTGCTTTTCCAGGAGGGAAATCCCTCAGCTTATGTTTGTAGCACGAGGGTATACTTTTTCCCTGCATTTCATTTAATCTGTGTCTCCAAAATCTTTTATGTGTGGGCAAGACTGCTTCCTATCCTGTTTCATGTATGCCACATTTATTAATCAGAAATCTGACATAAATCAAACAAACAAAGAAAAACGGAGCAAAGTCTAATGGGCAAATGTCGAGGGATAACATTTTTAATGCCTGAGAAAAGAGGAGGTGCAAGGGTGTAGCTCAACCCTACCTCAGACAACCTGTATTAAGGCTGAACGGCTGTTATCATTTTTTTTTGTCCATTGACAGCAAAAGATTGCTGCCTGCATGGGCGTCAATGTCAATATTTTGCCACTAGGTGTGCTGTGGAGTAATCTTTTCAATAGCAGGTACCCTTTTCTGTTTGCCTTACTGTTTGTCACACAAAATAAGGCCTTTGTAAATGTATTGAGAGGAAGGAAGTGGATTCCACACCTCGTGTGAGCCCACATCTCACAGTTCAATACAATGGGCGACAAACACTGAAGGTAAACGCCACCTCTGTTTGCTTCCCCTAAACACACAGTCTCAAAGAAAGCTTATTTTATACATCCAAAGCTTCATAACAAATAAATATTAAAGCATGAAAAATGCAGTCCTGTAGAACTGGTAATAATATTCAAATATAAACTGACATGAATGAACACCATTCATAAATATTACAATGTAATAGCATAATTACAATGTGGGGAATTATACAATAAAGCTAAACATTATTGCTTTCCCCCTCATTTGCAATACAAAGCTGTTGTAGCTACAACAGAAGGGAGTCGACTGGGTGGACACTGCTGTCACCACACAGCCTGAGAGCACATGGGGCCGGAGGAAGAGTGCAGAGGTCGCTGCCGTAGCAGGATGCTGCACCTGAATAAACAGATATAGAGACGCAACACAAGATATGCAGGACGCCAAGTTCAGAAGGGAGAAGACAATAAACAATCAGGTGCCGATTTAGCAAAGTGCGTTGAGCGGGCGACCACATTCCATACGACTGCGAGCGGCGAGCCCAGGTTCGAATCTGACCTGCAGCCCTTTGCCACATGTCCTCCCCCATCTCTCTCTCCCTCTGCTTTCCTGTCCTTTCTTCACCATGTCTGTCAAAAAAGGTGAAAAAGGCCCAAAAAAACAGCACTCATTTGGCTGCTTTCTGGTGGCACGGAAAAAGTGGTAAGTTTTTAGATTATCAGCCCATCGCTTTGTTTTTTTTTTCAGTTTCGTTACAAATAACGTTTGATTTTTATCTCCTGCTCTGCACGTCCCTTTGTCTTCTTTTTCCCAAAACACAACACCCCCTGTGGAAGAACTGCTGCTAATGTACTTTCCCTTTTCGATGTTCGCCTTACTTGTACGTTTTCGTTCTGTCCAACCAAACACCGCAGATGAGGGAGCCGACCATCCCTGCGATGACGATGGTGAGGCCAATCCTCCCGGCGTTCACTTCTTCTCCCTAAAAAAGCCGAGAACAATGAGCAGCGCCCAAAAACTGTATATCTACAAGCATTAACTAGAGATCCACACAAGGAGGTTGCACACACCTTTTTAGTACTACAAACAGAGAAGATCGCTCCCTTTTCCTGTTGTTTAACTTATAAAATGATTTAAGAGAAATGGCACCTATGCCTTAAATATAGCATTGGTTTGAGCTTGTAAGCGAACAAACTTCCAAACTTGGTTTAGCTGTGATAAATCTGTTATTACAGTGTTGTTTATTGAACTTAAGTTACATTAGTTTATAATATTAAACCTTATACTTGACTATTTAAGTCTAACTATTCATTTGTTGAAGAGTCACTAGAGTTACAGGCAATAGAAATGATTTGAGATGAGTGCAGAGGAAACGGACATACAGGGTAATGCACGATGATCATGCGGTTCAGCAGGGTCCCGACAGCATAAAAACAACCAACGTTCAGACCTGCAAAATAGGGAATAACATCAAATAAAATCTGAAATCAGAAAAAAACACAGGACAAAAATATCTTTCACCTTCCCACTTTTCAGGAATCATGAAACTAACATCATTAACTGAATGATGAAAAAGTTTAGTAGTTGTTTCTAATAAACCTGATCGGAGTAGTTTCTAAAACGAGGATAAATGTGTACTGAATGCGTCCCCACCTAAAAAATAAAACACTACAGCAGGCTTGGGGGAACTCCAGGCCTCAAGGGCCGGTGTCCTGCAGATTTTAGACGTGTCCTTGATCCAACACAGCTGATTTAAATGTCTAAATGACCTCATCAACATGATTCATTCTCCAGAGGCCTGGTAATGAACTAATCATCTGATTAGGTGTGTTGACCCGAGGTGATATCTAAAACCTGCAGGACACCGGCCCTTGAGGCCTGGAGTTCCCCACCCCTGCACTACAGCTACAGCTCAGTTAAAGTGACAGGGACAGGTGTGATAATCAGAGAGTCAGAAACATATTAGTAGAAAGATTAGACACATGACAAGAAAACTCCAACAAAGAATGCACCTTGGGATAATATTTGTACTTTTTTTTTTTTTTTAATTTTTGTATTATTTTTGTTACTAGTATAAAATAATGAAACATATCCCTCCCAGTTTATCCAATCTCAAGATTACTGAGTTACTGGTTAAACTGTGTGCCAAAATGCAACTACATTCAATTTCCAGCAACATAAAACCTAGATTATATTTTTTTTCTTTATCTCTTCAAAAATACACTTTATCATTCCGTTTTTTGTTTGCTCAAGTAACCAAGAGCTCCCAAAAATAAATGAATTCCTATCTCAGACTCCTTCCACTTCATCAAATCTTTGATCTTCGGGATCTTAAGGTCACATTGACCGAACGCACGTGTTAAAAATTGTCAGGTTATAAATGAACTTTGGAGCTCTTAGGGTAAATCCAATTTATCTTCTCGAGGAATACTGTCATAGCTGATGACTGAGGACTACGTAATCTGCGATAAGATAAACACCATTGCACTACGAAGGGAATTTTCAGGTGTGATTCTACCTGATATCTGTGGAGGAATCACCACAGATGACATCATTTTCACTTGGGATGGCTTGTTCAACCATGGTTATGGGAATTTATACTACCTTAGTAAAAATCCGCCTTCTAAAAACATTTAACATATTTTCATGAATTTCTAATGTTGAATTATGCAACGTACGATTTAATGTCTTTTAGCCCGTTCTAAAAGGTTAATGACAACATAATTTAACAAAAATTTGGAGAACAGTAATGACAAACCATAGGTGACGACGAGGAGCATGAAGGGCTTGTTGCGCAGCAGGTTTCGGATGGAGGCTATGTAGGAGTACTGCTCTGGTGGAATGCTGCGAGCTGTGGCCTGGGCCTGAGTCGGTGGAATTTTAGGACGCTCCTGGAAAACTGACATGTGGAAAGATCGACAACAGTGTGAAACACAGTAAACAGCAGCAGTCTGCACACTTACAATGAAAACTGGAAAGCAATAAGAAGCAACTCTATTGGTGGATACGTCCACCTGTAATATTCAAAGGATCAATCAATGCTAAGTGGTAGAAATAAGTTCAGGGTTATATTTCCTCCCTAGGGCCACAGGCTTCTTCCTGGAAGGAGCCAGTGACACATTCAGGCAAGACTGGACAGGCTCTAACGCCTCTATGTAACCCACTATACTCTCATTTGCTCCAGTGAAAATCAGCTACTGTCTGGTGTTGAAGACATCTTGGTGGAGCTACGTGCCCCCGGCCTTGTAGGGATAAACAGATGTGTGTTTTTGTATTTCTTGTAACTGAACCAGGGACACCTTTTTTCCTTCTGGCAAATCTCACATGAGGGTCTGTGTACAGTAAGCTGTTTTCACTAATCCTCCAAAAGTGTCCTACTCTTTTACACAGTTGATCTGCCAATGGTGGTGATGAGACTGAAATTATACCGTGATCTCAACTGCTGTATGCGTAGTCATCACTGCACATGGAAGAATGCAAATTTCTATTCAAATAACCTTTGGAGTTCTCAGACTGATCACAGGTAAAATTTCCTATATGGCTTGGATTTCATCGTCATGGTAATTCTCCTTTTTCAGTGAACAGTAAGTAGTCATATGTCAAAGCAGACGGTCTCCAAGTTTAACTTATACGATTGTTTTAAAGAAAGGCAGAAGCTAAGCATCTTCTCTCACCTCACAGTTTATGCAAATTTCTCAATCCTGGGACTCTGTCTGCCCTGCTGACTCACAGCCCTTTTGCAGGACTACAGATGGTCCTGCCAGCAGGACAACCCTCACACATGGCATCTTGCATGTATGCATGAGGGTGAGCTAGTATATATGTGTCATTAAACTACTGCAGCCACCTGGTGTCAAGTTTCACACTAGAGTAACCAGGAACAGCATAAGTCACATCCCTTGCTTGCTAAAATGTCAGCAGATCCAAAAATCAAGGCCCTACAATAAAACATTTTCCTTTTTTATAACTGTGCACAGTGTTGCCACTTCAGGCCTCCAAAAATATATATATAATGGGAAAAAAACCCTCCTCTGCCACCCTGGGATGAGTTATATGTGTTGAAATCACATAGCAACATTTGTGACTCAAAAATTGAGCCAGTACAGAAGTGCCAAATCACAAGCACTTCACAAGTTATAATGTTGTGAAATTGTGGGTAATGGGTAACTTGTAGCAGAAAAAAATGACCCCATTTGGGTGTAAAGTTGCCAAACTTTTGAAGCATTTTTATTAAATATTAACAGTTATTCAAAGTATGCAGTTTTTATGTTCTGGTGGCCACTGAAATTAGAATTATGGCACTTTCCACATTCAAGTAGATAAGTCTGGATTTGAGGCAACATGTCTGCCAAGCTGTACTGCTTGTGTCTAGGCCTTTGAAACTAAAAGGCACTGCATGGAGCTTAGCTGAGTTTTTCCGGGAAGAATATTTGTTTTAAGTCTGTTTTTTGATAGCCAAAGGTAGGGGCTCAGGGGGTTGGGAAGCGTATCTGTAACCGGAAGGTCGCCGGTTCAATCCCTGGGCTCTCTGTCCTGGGCATTGTGTCCTTGGGCAAGACACTTTACCCTACCGCCTACTGGTGTTGGCCAGAGGGGCTGATGGCACGGTACGGCAGCCTCGCTTCTGTAAGTCTGCCGCAGGGCAGCTGTGGCTACAATCATAGCTTGCCTACACCAGTGTGTGAATGAATAGTGGCATTGTAAAGGGCTTTGGGTGCCTTGAAAAAGGGCCATATAAATCCAATCCATTATTATATCATAATAACTTTTAAAGTTAGCTTACTTCTGCCACAGAAAAAAGTTATTTCTAAGTACGTTTAAATTTCAAGGTACGCAAGTGGAACTTTTTGAGATATGTAACTTTGGGTTATTGAGTCAAATTTTCTAGATAGGTAGACAGTAAGTCAAAATTTTCATCAACACCTTATGAAGCAAGCTTGCAAGCTAGCTAGTGCTAGCTCAAAAATATGCATGTCCTCTTATCCAAATATGGCCATATTCATCTTCAGAACCAAAAACAAAACTACAATGTCACAGTAATAATGCCAAAATAAAAAAGCTGCAAATATAAAGTTTTTCACAATAGCTCGCTTTAAAAAAATGTAAATGCTAGCCCGCAAACAAGCTATTTTTTTTTCTATATAAGAGATTTATTGTGTGTTATCATACACATAATACTTGACAGTTGTCTTCATATTGAAAATGATTTAACCACTGGTCATGAGGAATGTGCCCACATTGCTTGAGGGCTGTGTGCTATATTGAATGTGATACAACCACTGGTCACAAAGAATAAATTGCATGTGGTTGGTGACTGGTTCCTTAAGGTTGCTGGTTCATGGTGGATGAAATCGATCACAAAGACAGTGCTGCAACAAATCCTCCTTGGCAGTGATTTGGGTTCCATTAGTTACAAGGAAGATGTCAACTTGTCTGACAAATTACACGCTAACTACTAGTTAAGCAGTAGCACTATTTTACAAAGTGCAACACAAACAAGAAATAGGAAATCTTTGCTTTATATGCAGAAGTTGTGCCTCTGGGCTTTATGTTTTAAAAGGAGTAACTTGTCCTTTGAAGGGAAGCAGTCTCTCTTTCCAGTTTGTCTTGCACCGTTTTCTTTCCTTGGAGAGTAGCTGGAGAGTGTTTACAGACAAGTTGATGTGTTTCGTGCAAACTACGGCCCACTGAAGCATTTTTCTAGTGACCAAAGCAATTGCAAGAAGGTTTTCTTCAGCCAGTCAGGAAATACATATTTCTCCCTAGCGATCAGAGTTTGTCAGGTGGTCACAGGCCAGTTCCTAGGCCTGTGTGACTAGTGTCTAATTCACTTGACCCTACACTGTTGCACATGTCACGTAGTTTGCGGTCATGTGACTGGAAAACTTAATAAGCTACACTAATAATGGTTGGATATTTTGAGAATACACTTTGAGAAGATGAGATGATCAGTGTCACTTGTGTCTGTATGTAGCTGAAGCAAGAAAACAACCAAACACAAATACCTGTAAGAAATGTTAAAAAAAAAAAATAAAACTGCAATTACTGACCTCAACTGAGCCAGTTCAAGCACATTAAACACAAAAATCCCTCTGAAACGTCAGATGACATTATTTGGGCAAATAATAATGTATAAATTAACAAAAGTGCTGGTAGGGGAATTTACTCAACTTGCAGCCATCTTGCAGCTACACATTCACCCAGTGATTAACCTAAACTATCTACCTCCAGCCTCGTATTTACCATAAACAGAGGCATTGTGAGTCCTCCTACCTTACTCTAGGAACCATAAATAACTGTTTAGTGGGTCACAGGCAAATTTGACACAGCGAGAGTCAATTATGTAGCGTACTTATGAACACAAACACCATGTGACTGACCGAACAGTCACATAAGCACTGAATAAGCTGAGGTTTGCATTTCATAGTGCTTCATTAACAACAGCAGACTATAGCCAAAGCACTAACACTGACTGTATAGTCAGTCTAAATGCTGTGCATGGTACTACTAGGAAATTCCTTCACAAGCATCCTTTTGTGTTTAGGAATGCAGAATGCTTATGAGGAACGCCAGCCTCCGTCGTTGCCCCCCGCCCCTCCCTACCCCGCTGCAGGAAAACAGCATATTCATACATTCTCCTTATAGCAAGTCAGTGTTTTTAAAAGTAAAAGATATTTATTGCATTTTGATTAAACACTCGTACTGTTATTTTATCTTATCCATAAATGGCACAGCACATGATTCTGGGTTTCACAACAAATGCCACATTTGAAGGGGAATCATATATAAAGACACAGCAAAGCATTTTTTCCTCATCAATCACATGCTGTTTGTCATGTCACTTCCTTCTGCCACAAAGTGCTGAGTTCTCTTTTTCTTATGTCCATAGCTCAAATGACTTATGATGGATTTCAGTACACTTCTGACGACCTTACTTGTGCTACAATAATATCTTTTTTTATGAAAGTCCCCTTTTAACTAAGGTTTTGTGTTGTACGTGCATCCATGTCAGCACTTTTTTTGGTCCACTGAATGGTGCTTCTTGTCAAGAGTGTAAGTTTGGTGTAAATTAAAACCTTCATGAGGTCAGCCTACTCAATAAGAAATTCCCACGGGCATGAAGTAGGAAAAAACCTCATACAATACATGTCAAAATGCCCGAGCCTTTTATAGCAGACAGGAGCGAAAGCACCACCGAATGTCACTCTTTAACCATTCACAAAAAATCCTCGGTTACACGGTACAGTAACATCATTTTCATGCAATTTTATGTAAATTCGAAAACCTGACGGGAAAAAAACGCTTCTGTGCTTCATGATGTCTAGCCATGCGGAAAGTTTCATTTTATATGCAGAGGCGTTGAGGACACAGTTTTTACTACGGTGGAGGTTGTGTAGAGTTTCTTTTGTGCTGCACAAAGCAGCTAGAAATCGTGTTTGAAATAATAATGAACCACAGGCTTCAACTCTTTTCTTTGAAAATGCATTGTATCAAAAACCCTGACCCCCATCGGAAGATGAGTATTAAGGGTTTCAGTGCAACCAACATAATATACCCAATAATTTGGTTTTGCTGTGAAGACACCAAGAGATTACACATATAACCCAAGCTGTCTGTGTAGCAAGAAACCACCGGAACGAAATAAGAAAGTACCATCTTTGTGATTTTTGTTATTTTTTCGTGATTACCTTACCGAAGACAACAAGGATGAAGAGTAAAGTAGCCACTCCTGCCGTTATGTAGAACATGATTCGGATGTGGTGAGCCAGCTCATCCATGTCGTCCACATTAGGCACCAGGATAGGAGGCACAAGGAACCCGATTGCAATACCCAGCTGCAGGACGATGGAAGAATTTAACAGAATTAGAAGAAAACAAGTGCCACAAACAGTTTTCACTAAATTAAAACACTGAAAATCTTAGCTTTTTTAGCCCATTATTTCCATGTCTTCTACATGCCTTGTAACTTTACACAGTGCGTATTAAAAAGTTTTAATACTTGTTATTTGCCTTGAATGATTCTATTTAGAACAGGCTCCTCTATTCCAGGGAGGTTTTTTGCTGAGTTTGCAAAATGTCACATATGGTATACCCCGCTTTGCTGAACCTGATGACCTGAGTCTGCAACTGACCTCAGACCTCCTGCTCAGATGTTTTCTATTTGTGTCTGTAGAGGACTTCTTGGGTTTTCTTTTTGTGTGATTTAGGAAAATAAGATAAGGCCTCGCTGTTTCATTTTAGACCGAAGGCGAAAGAGTTTCAGTCGCCTTCTTGAGAAGCAAAAGTAGACTGAAGTAATTGTACACAGAGCTGGATGACATCACTTATGACATTGATATCAAAGCTCCAATAAATCCGAAGAAGACATTTGAGCCTAGAATTTTATTTAACTAGTTACATTATAACTTAGTTTAAAATCAGATTTAGAGCACACAACTTGAAGATTTGGACGACCTTTAAAAGTGAATTGGTGCAGCGATTAGCAGTCGTATGTGACCCTGACATCCAGTCTGCCCTGCATAATTTACAGGCAGCTGTCAGACAGCTCTGACCTCACTATACAGACCCTCCTGTGGCAAAAAAAAAAAAGAGATGCTGAATACTGACAGAGTTCACACAAACCTGGTTTCCCAGAACTCCTATGGAGCAAGCGGTGGAAACTTCTTTCTCTCCAAACCACACAGAGGCAAGGTATGAAGGAATACCGAGGATAAACACTGTGGCTACTGAGCACACAAACTGGCCAAAAAAGGTCACTGGGAAAGTATCTGGACTGGCACTACCGATTTTTATCCAAGCGCCAATGCAGTTAAAGGCTGACCCGACGAGGACAACATCCCGGATGCCCCTGTTGTCCAAGAACCAGAGGATGGGCAGAATAAGTGGAATGTAAGTGAGCAGATAAATCATGGCCAACCAATCAATAGCCAGAGCATCAATGTTGTAGAAACGCATGAATATGTTGCTAATAATGCCATACTGTAGCCACATGAAGGCATTGCTTGCTGAGACAAAACTGAAGAGAAACAGCATGAACCAACGACGGTGATACAGCTTGGTCTCAACTTTTGGGGCCAAATCCGACTGGTCACCCAAAGTCTCCATGTGTAAGCAGGACCCTGTGGAGACTGCTCTGCCAAAAGGCTCTGGACTCCATTGCAGTGATGAAAAGCCTGGAGCAAGATTCTTTGCAGCCTTGGAACACAGCCATTCTTCACCGCTGAGCTCCGAATTTGCACGGTCCCCTTTCAAAGTATTGTTTTGCGGCATTTCAACTGTCCTGAAACGGGCCCCCCGAAATGTTCGAGACCAGAGGTCTCAAGATTCAAGAGCTTGTGTCCTAACAGCTTACTGTCCTCTGTTCAAACTGCCTGCAGTAGAGAGATGCCAGAGAGCGAGAGCAGCTGGAATTAGTGTTGCCTTACTGGTGTCCCGGGTCCCTTCGCATGTGATGACACTGTGCTCCTTTACCCCATGTCCACATATTTATTACACCCAGTCCTGTCATGTGATGTTAATATAGGATGTTAATATCTTCCATTAACTAACTAATAACTGAGAAAAACATGTTCCTCTGTTGAACTTTAACCATTTTTCTTGTTAAAGTTCACCCATTTCAGTTTTTCGGTTAATATTTCAAAGTCTTAGTTATTGTTCACTCTGAAGTATCTGTTTTCTGTTGGGGAAAATACCAAGAATTCTCCAATCTTTCAGGGTTTTTTGCATGCAAACTGTTTAAAATTTATACTGCAGAACAGACTTGGAGAAACAAACTGCTCATCCAGCATTGCGGGCACTAAATGTGTAACCTTATGTAACAAACCATTTAGATGATTATGATATTATGATGATTATGATGATTATGAATATGATTATACTACTGTGATAGGATGAAAAGCACTGATATCCAGGCAGTTTAGAATGAATCCAATTAAAAGTATTGGAGGGTTAGACAGTGGTCTAATCAGGTTTTTAAGCATCTGTTATGTTTGTGTTTTATAAAAGAGACAAAAAAAGTAAATTGAGTTTATTTGGGAGGTGTTTGCAGATTCCCAGATTGCGAACAACAGTTTGTTCTTAGTTATTCAGACTGTATCCAACTGTTTCCCAGTAAGAAATGATGACATTTCAGTGATATTTGCTTGGAGTTGATGTTAATGTGACTCAAGCGTTGCTTGTTCAGAAACTTTTAGTGTTAAGTCTGATACTTTGGTATTTCATGATACCAAAGGCACACTGCTGATCTTTGCACTCCTTTGTGCTGATTTGACAGCTCACGTGATTTTCAACTGCCCTGTTGCTCCTAATTTATAGCGGTACATCGGCAGCTCATGAACTCTTTTATGAGGGGGTATATTTTTTGTAAAAAAGCAAAACAACATTAAAACAAAATGGAAAAAATATATATAGTTGGTTAACTCTTGCTTACATGAAGTGCTCAATATTTATTATTTCATATGTACATTCACATTCAAAACAGTCTCCTCGTGAATGCTTCTACACCTCTGAATTTGTTTTCTACACTAATGGATTTTTAGCTCATCTTTAGTCCAATGCAGTGCTATCTATCTATGCATGCGTTCATGCCGCTGAGTACAGTACTTTCTGACCAGACTTTTGCCCTAGGTTTATCTATTACATAATGCACTGCTGTCTGAGGGTAATAGTAGATTCAACGGAGCTTGTAATTCATGTCCCCCCTAAGTCATGCCATTGGACACATAAAGGCAGATAAAGGTGTATATATATATATATATATATATATATATATATATATATATATATATATATATATATATATATATATATATATAGTTGTTGTCTTTTGGGATGGGGATTACTATTACTATTACTCTCCTGAAAGTGGAAGAGTCTGGGAAACTTTTTGTCGCTCATTAAAAAGTTACATATAAATTAGGACACATAGTTTTTGTTGTTGTAGCTCTTTGTTTTGTCTTGCATGTCAGTCCACGCTGTGTGCATTGTTGCTGTCCCACATCCCCAGCATCCAGTACTGTTGCTTGGTGATGCACTATGGTCACTTAAACGTGCGTAATTACGCAAACGTGCTTGGAGATATGGCAGGGTCCAAGTTATTAGCATTATTAGCCTAAACATAGGATCCATACATTCTCAAGTAGGTTAAACGTTAATTTAACCTACTTTCCAACTATAGGACGGCCTTTGCATCGAACACCCTACCTGATTCCCGAAGACTCCGATGGAGCATGCAGTGGACACTTCCTCTGAACCAAACCACACCGACGCGATTCTAGATGGCATCCCGAGGATGAAGACCTGCGCGAAAGAGCAGCAAAACTGTCCCAGGAATGTCACGTAGAACAGGTTGGGTCTGACGCTGGCCACTTTGATCCACGTCCCCGCGCAGTTGAGCGCCGTGGCGACGAGGGCGATGACCCGGAGCCCTTTTTTGTCCAGCAGCCAGGTTACCGGGAAGATGAAGGGAATGTATGTGAGCATGTAGATCATAGACATCCAGTCTATGGTGAAATCATCGACGCTGTAGAACTTGGTGAAAATGTTGCTGATAATGCTGTACTGTATCCATTGGTAAGAGTTGCTCAGCGAATATAAGCTGAACAAGAAGACGATCACCCATCGTCGGTGGTAAAGACGGGTAGCTTGCAGTCCTTCGCTGCCGTTCCCTTCACTTGAGACGTCGCTGGGCTTCGCAGCGTCGCCCCCCTCCAGCTTGACATGGTTGTCAGAGTCCGCCTTCCACACACTCTGATCCTCGTTTGGTTTAGTGTCTTCCAGCGCTTGTTTCTCACTCATGTTCCTCTAGGTCTCCTCAGTAATACTCATCGGGAATAAACTTGGCACTCAGCTGCTGTGGTTTTGTTAACCCACACTCAACAAAAGTGAAAGAACCTGAATTCGCTCTTTTTTCATTGAGGAACATTCAGCGCTTTAGGAAAGTCTAACCTACCGTAAAAGAAAGTCAGGCCTAACACGATATGTATTCAGCAGCAGAAGCTCCCTTTCCACTCTGTTTTACATAAATATATATGCTTAGAAAGAGAAAAAGTTTTTAAAAGAGGCGAGCTTCCAATGTTTTTGCGGCTGTCTCCAAAATCTATCGGTTCATTTCCTCCCGGCTGAGCACTGAAGATATTTTTGGTACCCGAACTTTCACCCAGATCCTGGGAAAGTTAACAAACTTTGAGCTGCAGATGATTTAATGCCAGTTTAATAGTTATCTGAAGTTTAGTTTCCCGATCGGTACCACGTGTCGGAGAGCCGGCTACTATAACCCTCCACCCGGACTTAAAAGACCGCGTTGGGATCTTGAAACGAACTCGGTAAGCTCATGCACAAGGGCGGAGTTTTAGATAAAACTCTTCTCTCTCTCCGTGGTATCTGAACACGCTGTAACATCGAGATTATAGACACTAACGCGCATAATTGCGCGTCATTTGTTCTCTGGTATCTTAGTAGTGTGTGAACTATAAAACATGCTGGTAATCATCACTTTTATTGCAGTTGTTTACTCTAAAAGCATTGCAGATAACATCATTTATTTTGGGCAGGCAGTTATGAAATAACTGGCTGAGAGGTGACACGAGAGGCTCAGCTGTGCTCCAGGACACACACTCACACACACACACTCACAAAGTTTTTAAAAAGTAAAGTTATACAGGGAAGGTTTCAAAATACTATGTTCTCCTTAATATAAGCTACTTTAATCGTGCATCTCATTCTGGTAAACAGTGCCATCTAGGGACCTCCAGGATGCTGTCACAAGCTCCTGTGACACCACAGCACCACTGGTGGTGTCACACACTCTGCTGTCTTAAAGAAAAAAGAGGTCACAGTGATCATCCTAAAAGGCATTACATTTAATAAATAGATCAGCTGGCTCTTCTCACATATCAGCTTTATCAACAGAAGTCAAGACCTTTTGAACGCCAGGTTCCAATTCTTCATCATCAACAATTGCTTCTTTTTTTTTGGTACACAGTCTGAAAAACCTCTTTTCTTAGGATCTTGACTTTACATTCTCTTTGTCCACAATCAAATCTGTCAAAAGGTCCTGAGAATTAGCAATCAACAGTAACACACTAAAACAGTGAACAACACAAAAAACAAAACGAAAAAACAAAAACAAAACAAGGTGGGTGAGATGATAAAGGTGGCTCTCCTTCACACTAAAAGTATGCAATTTACAAAAATATCGCCTGAGTCACTTCAACATTTATATACTAGGTTGGTTCTTCACTCTGTGTAAACATGGACTGGCTGATAATTCTACTCAATGAGCCATTTAAGTTCACAGATAGATTACTGATAATAAATCAGAAAAGCAGAGAGACGAGCAGAAGCGAAATAAATAATTACAGTTTGGCTGCCGTGTGTGGCAGACACGTTGGTCTGTCATGTTACTCTGTGATCAGGTTTTTAACACTGATTGAAATATCTCCAGTCAGTCTCTCTCCATTGAGGTCAGTCGTCTGTTTCGCAGTACATCTTCAGTAGTCAGTTGGGAGGGGGAGGGGGTTAGCGCTGGTAGTGTGGTACAGCGATTTGCTGGCGGTGGTGCAGTGCCAGTCAAAAGTTTGGATACACCCCAAACTTTTGGCTGGTGCTGTAGCTGCTGTGATGAGGAGGATAGAGGAGGTCCGGGGTCTGAGGAGCCAGGCCGGTGCACAGAGGTTCGTGGCTGCTCAGCACAGACGACAGATACTTGGCCTCCTCTGTCAGCTGCTTCACCTCCTTCCTCAGGGCGGCATTTTCCTTCTCCAGGTTCTCACTCTCCTGGAAACACGAAGGGAGGGGATGTTAGAGCAGAGCTGCTTTATTTACTATAAAAGTGCGTGCTTTTTGTGTGAGGTTAAGTTGGACAGCATAAAGTTGATGGTCTTTACTACTTGTTCATGAAAAAGCCACAACCACATATCCTGCTTCCGCGCTGGTGTTTTTGCATGTTTTAGTGCACGGTATATTTTAACCCCAAACATTTCAAAAGGATAATGCAGGCCATTTTTAATAGTCCATGTATGAATGTGCTGGATGGTTTGTCTACCATTCGATGTAGAACAGAAGAGCGCAACAGCTTTGCAGAATCATTGTCCACAGTGGATGGCCTGACTTTAAATCTAAGCCACGATTAGATTGTCATTAAACTGACATACTTTCATACATGCTCAGTTTAGGGAAATTGAATAAGCTTATTGATTCCCTTAGGCCAAGGGTGTCAAACCCAAGGCCCAAGGGCCAGAATCAGCCCAGCAAAGACTGCAATCCGGCCCACTGGACAGCTTTGGAAAATGTTAAGGAGGGCATACATTTTTAAACTTTTAATCCTTTTTTTTAATAGGTTTTACACCTTTTTCTGCTTACAAAGACCTCCCCACTGCGACTCAAATTACACCAAAGTAGTTAAATAATAAATAAATAAATGGTAGAAAAGTTCTTGTTTGTCACTGTTTATTGTAGAAATTACA